AAAATCAAAAAAATAAAATCAAAAACCATTAAAACCAAACCGAATTCATTTTTTTGGTTCAATTTTCGGATAAACAATCGATTCGGTTAAAAAATGCCCAGCCCTAATAGTTTGCATACAGTTGGTCTTGTATAATAGTTTTCTAAAATTTTATTAAAAAACCTTTTACTCCAAGGCAATTCTATACAAAATTTTGCCAGACACTTTCGAATTATTTCCAACATTCTCTAAGTCTCTAATCGCAAAAGCCACCAGCTTCCCCTGGGGCTAGCTGCCACATCCGCCACCGCAGTTTCTCTTTTAACCGCCGCCACGCCGTCTGCAGCAGCCGCCAATTCTATGGATTCCCCTCTCAAAACCAAGGTCTGCATCATCGGTAGCGGCCCAGCAGGCCACACTGCTGCCATCTATGCCGCCAGGGCCGAACTCAAGCCGATCCTCTTTGAAGGCTGGATGGCTAACGACATCGCCCCCGGCGGCCAGCTTACTACCACCACTGACGTCGAGAACTTTCCTGGATTCCCGGATGGCATCCAAGGCGGGGAACTCATGGAAAATTGCCGCAACCAGTCCCTCCGTTTCGGAACCAAAATCTTCACTGAAACCGTCAACAAGGTTGACTTCTCGTCGTCTCCCTTCAAACTTTTCACTGATTCCAGGACCGTCCTTGCCGATTCTGTTATAGTTGCCACCGGTGCTGTCGCCAAGAGGCTTGATTTCGCTGGCTCCGGGAACCCCCCAGAGGGTTTCTGGAACAAGGGGATCTCCGCATGCGCAGTCTGCGATGGGGCTGCCCCAATCTTCCGGGACAAGCCCCTGGCCGTCATTGGCGGTGGAGACTCCGCCATGGAGGAATCCAATTTTCTCACTAAGTACGGCTCGAAGGTATATATCATCCACCGTAGGGATACCTTTAGGGCGTCCAAGATTATGCAGGCCAGAGCTCTCTCCAACCCTAAGATAAAGGTTATATGGAATTCGGCGGTCTTGGAAGCGTACGGTGGTGGGGACAAGGGGAACCTCAAAGGGCTGAAGATTAAGAACTTGGCGACGAACGAGATTTCTGATCTGGAAGTTTCGGGCTTATTCTTTGCCATTGGCCATGAACCGGCCACCAAGTTCTTGGATGGGCAGCTGCAGCTTGATTCTGATGGGTACATTGTCACCAAGCCAGGTACCACTCAGACCAGTGTTCGTGGTGTATTTGCCGCTGGTGATGTTCAGGATAAGAAGTACAGGCAGGCTGTAACTGCAGCTGGGAGTGGTAAGTTTCCTCTGTTTCCTCCCGTTAACAATATTTTGGTATTCTTGTTTGTATCTTGTTTAAGATTTTGCCTTTTTTCTCCACCAATATAAATTCTTGTTCTTTATCTTGAAAATGCAATTGTAGTGTCCATAATTCAATATATTGTTGCTACCTATAAACACCAGAACGTAAGTAACTATTTCTTATGGGTTTCAACTGGCCACTTCTCTCATGCTACAATGTTTGTTAATTTCAAGTTGGAATTTTGAGCTTGAAGATCTGCTTTAAGTTTAATCTTAGTTAAAGTTAAGTGTTAAACCATCTTTCCATTTAATGACGATTGTGTAATTAGAGATACCAAAATGCCATGCTTTGATGAGATATCACTGGTGAATCCCCACACTTTCCCATATTTAACCATCAGAACCACCCTTATCTTTTCTGCCTCATTTTAAAGGAAGGATGCCTATGTAGTGGGTAGATTGAATTGATGCCTTTGTACTGTTTGGCTTTCTTGATAAACTGTGCCAAATGCTTCGGCTGTAGTATTCTTTTGTTCCTTTTATCCCTTCCCCCTCTTTCTCGTGTGCCAAGAAAGAACCTTTTTTGTTTTTTGCTTTTCTTTTGATGTTAAAGCTTCAATGTTCAAGGTTTATTTGAAGTATATCTTTATCATGTCACATTTAAAGGCGTATTCTTTGCTTATTCCCTATGCTATTGCTGATATGCAGTCTAGATTATACTTCCTTTGTGTAACCACTATCTTTTTGGTGCTTTCCAGCTACATGATTTCAATCCTTGAAATCAAGCTTTTTGGTCTGAGCAGGGGCATGACTATTAAAAATGGTGTAACCAGAGAATGATATTTGGTTCTTATTTGAGCTATACATTCATTACTTTTGTCAATGAGGTCATGTAAACCAAGAAGTCCATCTTTAGAATTTAGATACACCTTCATAACACACCATTCTCTGACCTCTGCTTAGGCTTTGATACTCTTCATCAAATGCAGGAGGATCTGATTGCATGTATGGCAGTTGCAATTTAAATGAGAATAAACTGTAAATATAAAACAAACTTAAGAAATAATTTTTCAGTTATGTTCCACTGCCAAGTATAGGTATTGGACTTTTCTATAGGGAAGTACTTATAAGTAGTCAAGACTCAAGAGAAGTAAAATAGTAGTTGCTAACTGCTTTCTTTCTCTTCTCTCGACTGGTATGTAAAGGTTTAAGTTGTTGACGGCCTTTATTGTTTCTATGATTGACTTCATCTATAATTTCTTAGATCATTCTTAGATTGGTGTATGGAAGCTTTTTATGGTAAAAGGAGAAAGAGTAGTTTGCTTTTTGATCACTGCATGGCTGCGTTGGTGTGTAGAAGTTACTTGTAGTTATTTTGAATGATCGAAGTTATGCTTTTAAACAAATTCTCTTGCACTTTATTCAGCTTCCAATGCTGGAGGCAGTTTTCTTAAGGTCTTGCTATATACTTATTGTGGCTATGTTGAAATATGTTTGTTTTCCAATTACTGCAGGGTGCATGGCGGCACTAGATGCTGAACACTACTTGCAGGAGATTGGAGCCCAGCAGGATAAAAGTGATTAATTGGTTCAGAGGTTGATGCTTGGGCTTTAGGAAACTATTTAATCAATGTATGCGACTATTTATGGGTCCAAGGATCATGTTGGCAGATAGAATATCAAACTATTGCTATCTCTGCTAAGAGTATTATTTATCATTTGGAATTTCAGACATTAAGTGTAGGAAGTCCTTTAATCTAGTTGAATCTGGCTTTGGCACATTTCATCCAGAACTAAAACTTTGTTTGGTACTTGGTGTTTGCGGATTTATCAAGCAGGAGGAGGAGCATGTTTTAACTTGCTTCTGTGGTGGTTACAAGTTATATGTTCAAAAATGAATTCACTAGTCCCGCCACCTGGGTTCCATTGTATTGTATGGTACCTTACCATGCGATTATGTTGCAGTGCCCATGAGCAAAATTGCATCTGGTGGGACTTAAATAGACTTTAGGCCAAGGCTAATTACCAGTTTGGTTGGAATTCGATTATTATAGT